ATTTGTGTGACCCGGGCCAGAGCACGTACAGTCAACTGTGAGAACAAGCCTTCATCCAACAGCACAATCATACTCACGTCTCCACCAAGCAGACTAAAGCTATGCTTTAAAAGTAGAAGAGTGGGAAAATGGCAATCGCCAGGTGAAGGTGTGGGGAGCATTGAAACCATACACCCACACCAGTCCTGTGTTATGCACAACGCACAATGCCGTAGACAGTGACAGAGACAGGTTACTGTTTCAGCCAATGAGGTTTCATGTATTTGTACCTTAGGTGTTCATCATTTTCTAGTTACTTGTAGTAGGTCTAAGCAAGAGTAACAAATTATGTACTCCTGATCTAACACATGACTCAGTTCTTGATTCTGTGTCTGAGGACGTTAGCAAAGTCTAAGGCTACCATTTGCAGCCATGCGAACCTGTCTTTGCTTGTTTTGTGTGTACGGGTTTGTGTGTCTGTACGTGCGTGCATGCGTGTGTATGTGTATGTGTGTGTGGGGGGGGGGGGGGGGGTGAGGGTCTCAGCAAGTGTCTACTATGGAGACATGCATGTGCATGTACATGTAAAATAATGATCATACCGTGTACATCTATTTGATTGTGTGTGGCGGATGACCTACTGAACGAGGGCATGACCTTAAGAGGAAGCGAGGAGTTGATGACCAGACGACTCTCCACTTTCCTCCAGTTAATACGTTTCAAGCAGACCGTGCAGAGGTGGAGATGCCCTCCCAGCAGCGAAGTCACACGCACCGCACATCCACCGAGAGAGGAGACCAACATGCTAGCGCTACCATTGAGAGTGTCCGAAGCGATTACCATGAGTATGACCATGCCATGGCCCCAAGCACTGGATCTATTTCCACTACTGAGATGCCCTCACAGGCTCCGAATCGAATTGAATATGACTACATACTCGAAGGATTGCCAAACGAATACGCTAGTGTTCCTGACCGAATGAAGCATAATGTGGAGTATACCTATGCCCTTGCCACTGATCCAGACAGGACATGTGATGATCACACGGGGAGATGTGCGGGCGCTGTATCAATCGGCATAGTGGAGAGTACAGATGGCTATGGCTACGCTTTCGCTACGGCTCGCACTTCCATGCCCAAGAGCAGGACCACACCATGCAGCTCTGGATTCATGTCTGATCAAACGCACGTGGCTAACACATCAGCTGCAGATCGAGGAGCAATGGCGGCTAGAAAAGATTCCTAACCTAACTACTTGCCTGGAGCGGATCGACCTCCCGTCAATAATGCTCTCCTTGACATGCCACTTCCACTGCCTAATGAGTCCTATGGCGTGGCAGGTTCATAGCAGAGGGGCAGCAGTTTTTCTCAGGCAAAAGAACAGGTTCCAGCGAATCCATCAGACTATCTTCCTCCCCCCCCCCCCCCCGACTGCCTGTTACCCTAGCTATTGAACGAAGTGTTGGCCAACGTTTTAGCACATATTTCACCCTTTCAATACTATTTTCTCACGACCAATGTTTTTACAAAGACCACTTAAATTACTTTCATGTGGGTAGGACCCTTCAGCACCTGGAGGCACGGATCCACCAGCATGTGCCTCTTCACGTTATGCCTGTTGAGGCACGGTCGTCAAGGCCTAGACGAGGTCGTCCCCCAAAGATTGGTACTGCGACTGGAGGTGCACCCTCGCTGGGGACGGAACCAACTGGGGTGTCGTTGTCTTCTTCGTCGGCATCGGCTTGTTCGTCATTGCCTTCGTCTTTACCGTCTCTTCCTTCTATCCCGTCATCATCGTTGGTATCTGCGGTTTCGTCTTCTTTGACTTCCTCTGTACCGTCATCCGGTGTGTCCACCTCCGGTGGCAAAAAGCGTGGCCGGCCACCGAAGAAACCACCGGATGGTGTGTCTGCGGGACCAGTGACTCGCTCTAGGGCGAGGTTAGCAGAGTCTTTATCGTCTCCGTCGTTGTCGTCATCGTCGTCGTCAGCGTCTTCCTCATCTCCCTCCTCCTCTTCATCAACATCAACAGCCATTGGAACGTCAAAGGGAGCATCATCGCAGCAGGCAGTGCCAGCAACGGACGTGCCTTTGGTACGGACATCTACATCGGCCTCGTCTGGATTGGCAGTAACGGCAAGGAATGTCAGGTCGGTTTCATTGTCACGTAATTCCAAAGTATGTACTGGTTTTAGTAGCGTTGTTAGGGTGTATGAATCTTCTATCGCCAACCATCTTGTTCAGAATAGTGATTGTCGTTCTAGTTATGCTGATGATTGCTTTTCTGTTTGGTCTCGTTCACGTAGTCAAAGGTATTTGCGTGTATTGGAGTCTATTTACATTTTTACCACCAGGCCGATTTTGTGTAGGCAGAAAAAGAATTTGTTTACGTTGAAATTGTTTGTGAATTTAGATCAGTAGTTCTCGTTTGTGGTTGCTTGGTAACTTTCTAGTGGTGAATTTATCGCATTTGTTGTCACCTGATATCGTTGAATGGTGTAATGTTTCTTTCAGCTCTCATTTGATCGCGCTAGTTAGGGTCTAAATTATTACTTGCATTGTGCGTATATATATTGAGTTAAGAGCTTTTGTTGATTTGCCAGTAATCCTCTGATGAGATGGCGACGAAAACGTTTAGGAACAAGCTTATTTATTATACATGAAAACAAGTTTTGCTAATGGTGTTTGTACTGAGTGCGCAGCTTACTCTATTTATTGCGTTGATTAAATTTCTTTCCTTTAAAGTATAGTATCACGACAAAATACTTTCCTTTAAGTATAGTATATGCATTCGTGTACTTCCGAAGTATGTACATGTATATATGTATGTGTGAGAGAGTTGTTGGCGTAGATCATTGAACAATTTGTCTACACTGTTGTAACAGTTCTTCTTGCATTTTCAAAGTTAATAATATGATGCGATTGCGGAGTGCTTTCACATCGCATAGCTCCATGAACGGATAGCATTTTTCTGTGCAGGTCGGTAAGAGGTACACTGCTTTTTGACCTTTCCAGACACTTAAAACTACTGAGTGGTGTTGTTTTTTTCAACCCATTGAAACGCTTGGCCTTCACACATTCCACATAACTTGCTTATTAACCATTGATCTCTGCTACTGCATGCAAGCGCTCGATCTGAGCGTAATGAGTCACCGAGCAAGTGATAGCTTTGTACTTCAAAGTACCCACAGTGTATATAGTACGTTTCTAAATGCTCATAATCAAAAAAGCACGCCATTCGTAATTCGCATCCTCAATTTCTGATTTCATTTAGGACTCACATATACAACCTCGAATAGCTATGGCAGAGGAAGAGAGCTGCTGCACAATGCCAATTTTTAACCCTAAATACCTTGAAAAATGCTCAGAATCGCAATGCACGCCATTCGTATTTCGCATCATCAACTTCTCACTTCATTTAGGATATGCACGTAAGGCCTCAAAGAGCTATGGTAGAGCAAGAGAGCTGCTGCGTAATGGTTAATGATCAGCCAATACAAAAGAGGGCTGAGATATTCAACTGTTACTTGCTGAGATTTGTTTGCAAACATGGCCAAGTCAACTTGGAAATCTCGCGTTGGACCTTGCCTCATGTTATGGGAATCTAAACATAGCCGCATCACAGAAGGTGTCAAATTTGCAAGACTTCCCCATGGGCAGCAGGAAAGTGTACATAGTACGTAGTATCTGAGTTACACTTTATCTCAAAATACTTTGGTTTGGATCTTGACACCAGTGCATCGAACAATATGCGTTCGAAGCAGGAGTCTGCCCTAGTGCTTACTTCAATGAGCTCTACTGTATTGTTAGAGACTCTAACCAAGCATGGTGCACAGATGGTAAACCACACGATTCAAATCAGGGCCAAGCGGATGCAGTTTCACTGACGCCCAAGGAACTGTATAGCCATCAGTAGCCATTTGAACAGCAATCGTACATGCTGCACCTAAAATATAATCATACTGATACACATTAGAGTGAAACAAAGAGCCATTGATCCTGTATGTAGGGATACGTGTAAAATCCGCCATCACAGAGCTGCGGAAAAACAATCCCAGATCAATCAGCTCTTCTTATATTTGTAACGGCTTTGGGTGAACTGAAGCACACTAGCTATCAGACTTGGTTTGTGTAGGGTCTGTCCGATTCTCATCCTGTGAGACGTCTGCTTTGCTTTGCTCAATCCTTGCGGAAACTTTGACATTCTTTTTGCAAACCCTCATCTCAAAACACTTCAAATATTTTTTGGACCAATTTCGTTACGTGCCAAATACACTGTATGCACTCTAAACCTGCACACACAACCATCAGTGCCGCATACGTTCACCCTCTTTACCACGTTCTAACAGTCTCTTGGTCTAGGTCTCAGGTTTGCCTTTAGATTACTTCCACTACCCGTCTAGCCGTGACTCGGTGTTCCCAAGCACTACCAAGCCTAAGACACCATACTGCATGCAACTAATTAACCTGAACAGTCCATTTATGGTAATCACACAAACATGCACAATCCGGTGACTGACCTCAACATATTACTGTCTGTTTCCTGGCCTCTCATTAGTCACAATGGCTCGCTGTTGTGCCAAACAACTAGACAGACGTGTAGTGCAAGTCTTTGGCACGCCAGAAGACACATTGGGCGCGGTCATCATTGACAGCGGCTTCTAATGATGTGTCGAACATATCCATCTCATTTCTTTGTGGGATGTGTGCCAGTCAATTTTGTACACGTTTTGGAAGAGAACAGCTGGTACTACTATGAATAACAGCAGTGACACTACATCTGTAGTGGGTAGAACCATTGTACCTTGTCGTTACTTGCATATCAGTGCTAGCGTGGCACACTGGATCTGCAGTAGTGTATCATTGGTAACATCCACACAGGTATATCCATTAGGCATGCTGGTGACCTGCAAAGTTCTAATCGTCTTACGCTGATTGCGCTTCGTAACACCATGGCATAGCTGGTGGCAACACGGATGTGAGAACGATTCTTTTCTAACATGTCGCAGGCAAAGTGCATCTTTATGCCCGACTCATATCATTTCGTGCACAACGTAACATTGGAAAGATACTCAGTGGAGAGGCTTCACACTGGTCAGTGCTATTTTGATGAAGATGTTCTTCAGGTTGGCTTCGGTCTAGGAAAAGGTCAGTCTAAGATTGTTTTGATCACATCGAGGAAGGATTGCCTCCTCACCTCGTAGCCAATCTGCCCCGTGTTGGCTTGACCAGGATTGGAACTTCTTCTCGGTCCTGATATTCACACCATCGTGTAATAATGGTGTCCAGTTCAGGTAAATATGCTAGTTTTTGTCACTGCTACATTGACAATGAATATATTCGAGGTAAAAAAAATCATTTTTGTTTTCATCCAGCCCCAAACTAGACTCGTCTACGCCACTTACTTTCTTAACGTCATTCCATGGGGAGTGGTTTACCCAGAATTAACACAATACACATGGATTTCTATTGTTGTGGTTCAGCCTCGGTAAAGTTTACGAGCACTATGTGTTGATTGCATACGTATACAGCTAGCAATGTACACAATTATAGCTAGCGGTAGATGAACAATTTGGTTCGAGTTGCCCTTGCTCTCTTCTGCATTTCAGTCTTTTTCCAGACCAAGTACAATTGGATCGTTCTATTGATAACAGTGGTTGCTATTACAACCAAGGTTTGGTGTTTAATCCCGAGATGCCGTCCAGAATCTGATCACCTATATATTGACGAAGGCAAGAACGGCGGATTTAATACATTCAAGTGGTACAAATCAAATATACCGGGTACGCTATCAACTCGCTACCTCAACTACAATCGTGTTTATAGCACAAATTTCCAGTTTAACGGGAGCTGCACTATTAAAGCAATAGGTGTATCATTTGTGGCACGCGGAAAATGTCGCGTCTCAATTTCCATTAAGGAGTTTGACCACAATGGTTGGTCAAACACAAGGCCAGTTTGGTTCACGGATCATGTTCGTATTGATTTTCACTATCTCCATTTCTACGTGCAATCATCACATGGGTTGAAAATCAAATTCACAGTTGAGAGTGAGATGACACGTCCTCTCAGCCAGTGTACGTTTCAACTCAATGAAGCACGTGAACCGTTCATCGCCTTGCACGTCCAAGAAGGTATGTTATTTTTCTCCTTCGTTAGGGAGGAAATCTCCTCATTTAGGCGGGCGCAGTAGACCACAGTTAGTCGTTGCTTTTCTGGAATTTGTTTTACTGAACACCTTGAAAGATGTTCAGTACAGTGTACAGCAATTTGACTGAGTCATTTTCGTACATTATGTAGATGTGCAGTCATGTCTATTCCTGCTGCTAAATGTATTTACTTCGATAAGTCTCCTCTGTATCATTTGCACGAAGTAGGGCGGTCATATCGAACTACTTGAAAATCCGAAAGCGAAATAAAGAGAAAGTATTTTACTCATCATTGAGATATACTTAGAAACTTTTATTTCTAAAACGGCCTCTACAATACTGCTAGTAACTTTGAAAATATTGCTCTTGGTGGTCCCATCCAAACACCCAATTTTCCGGTTTTTCAGAACGCATATCTGTGGAGTAGCATTGCTCGAAATCCTTTTTCATTCCATTCTTGGGGTTTCGTATAAAATGCAGTCTCATTCTCATAGATTCGTATGTCGGATTGCAGATATTAGTGGAGTAGCACTGTCCTGCTCGGAATCCTATGATTTCCTTTCCTGGGGTTTCGCATAATAATTATAATAATAATTATAGTCGCGCTCCTGTAGAAACCAGTGGTGCACAAGTTGTGCCTTACAGTCAACCACCTATAGCAGATGTTGCCCAATGTGGAATATCTTAGTACTCTATGTCAGTTTGGTGCTAGATTGTCTACGCATAACAGTTCAATATCTGGTGTAGTCGGTGGACTCTAATGCATAACTTGTGGGCTGATGTTTTCCATGTTTTCAATTAATATTTCCTTGGCTCTCAATTCGAGTTCATTCTCAAAGATTCGTAAACCAGAATTGTAGATGTTAGCTAGATATCCACTCGCATAATATGATAAAATACCAATGCGATTAGCTGTATGATAATCACCTGTGGTCCTGACACCAGTGATTATACATGTACCGGTACTTGAAGTACTTATGGTTGATAAATATTGTGGTAAAGTAGAAGTAGAAGTAGAATGAAGTTAAAGCCACCACTGCAGCTGTACTTATGGTTGATACATATTGTGGTAAAGACACACCTGCCCACACACGCTCTCTGAGCTGCAAAGTTCTGGCATAGGAGAGCTCTGTGCCAGAATTTTGCAGCTTAGAAAGCGTGTGTGGGCAGGCGTGTGTTTACCGCCATATTGCCAGGTGTGTCTTTACCACCATATTTATCAACCGTAAGTACAGCTGCAGTGGTGTCTTCAACTTCATTCTACTTCAAGTACATATAACTTCAAATGAATCGGAAGCGTTGCGTTCCATGTGTCGTGCATGATCAACTATTGTGAACAATTTAATCAATGACTGCCCAGCATTTTTCAATATTCCTTTTAGATCACGATGAATGTTCAGCATCGAATCATCCCTGCTATGGATATTACAACCCTTTATATTGTACAAACACGTGGGGATCCTTCAGCTGTACGAGGACTTGCCCGCATGGATATCGACATGGATATAGCTATATTTGCAACGACATCAATGAATGCGCTTGGTCTTCTACGCCTTGCTATGGATATATCCGCAGGGATAATGAGCCCAACTGTGTGAACACTCCTGGAGCCTATCAGTGTATTTGCCGGCAAGGTTATGAGATTGTCAAGAAGGGACACCGATTTCAATGCCAGGATATTGATGAATGCTCTCTTACACCTCACCACTGTGTTGCGTACTCTGCGCAAGGTCCTAGAAGATGCGTGGACAGTATGGGGTCATACTCGTGTAATTGCGTCGAGGGATACATAGCTCAGGATACTAGTAATAGAACCATATGTGTAGGTAAGTAGTTATCCATGTACTTTAGACCTGGGCCTATCTCGTGTCTGAAGCTGATACGCCATGTGGTTTAATTCATGGCTTCTTGCAGGGTTAATGGTAAAAGGTTTTGCCCGTGCGCACTGCATTCTGCATGTCCAATGTTATTCAGGCTCGCCTGGAGAATGTCTGAAGCAATACACATCACTGCTGCATCTCGGTGCAGCCCCTTCTCAGTAGTTGGCACGTTTATCCTTGTCTCAGTACAATTGTCTTTCATTATTATTTACGAGTTGGGTATGTGAACATAGTAAAAAATAAATAAAATAAAATACCCCCTCCCCTGTATCGGATTGATGACTTTGGGCCAAGGTACATGTACATGCCCCAAGAAACGTTGAGTTACTATGCCTTTCAGACATTTTCATGCAACATTCTATTGTGGACCAAGGGAAATGGTGAAGAATGTGATCTCTACCGGACATACATGTACATGTACCCTCCTAGCATATCGAGTATGCAACTGTTAGGCCTTGGCTTGGGTAGGTTGACTGGCAATTCTACATCATTTCACGACTTTTAAAAGTTGTATTATTTCCTTACCCCACATGGTATAAGGTTTTATATACAGGCTACCCTAGGAAAATGCGTGAAGAAAGTTGAATCAAGAAAACGGGCTGCCACGGAAGAGAATTACACCTATCAGAGGCCAGGAAAGGCGAAGAGTGGAAACCGTGTCGTGAGGAAGCACTATGCAGGGCGAAAGTGAGGCTGGACTGTCCTCAGGTCAAGGTAAAAAAAAAGCAAAAATTTGCTGCGCTAGGAAACATACCGGCCAGTCAATCTTTTAAAGTGGCAGAGGTGTAGGTGAGACATTTAACGGCAACAACAAAACATATCGTGAGGACAAAATCCTACCACCAAACACTACTTGCTATATTCTATTATTCTGATTGCACGAGATTATGCTGTTTTGGCGATAGGACTTTTGCACAAAACTCCTCTTTTTGGCCTGAATGGCATCATTGTTCATTCGTACCTAACGATGGCAATATTGCCGAAACGTTGTACGCAAAGGAACTGGTTCGGTTTTCAGGGCGTTGGGAATAGGTGTATCCACCCAACCTTTCTCTAAGGATGGAGCTGCAATATGCCTCAAAGTTACTTCTCAAATGCTCTTGACATTGACACTAATGTATAGCTGGGTCTGACGGTTGGTTTGCTGTGTAATTTAGCTCCCAGTCCAGGGCCAACAGCATCTCCTACAACTACATCGGAACGTACAGATACTACACCTGCTACCACCAGCTCTGAGGCCCATGAGAAATTCACATCACACCCGTCATTGCCACCCACGGAATACGCCAGTAATCGCACCACACATCTTATAACGTCTAGCGCGCCACTCAATGTCACATCGCCTATCGCCATACCGGCTACAACACAGTCGGACACAATGATGCCAGGCTCAACCACATCTAGCAGCTCTGTTACTATACTAGTGACGTTATTAGTCATTGGCCTTATGCTCATGACTCTGCTGCTTGCAGTGGCATTCTGTAAACGACAACAGATAGCCAAATTCTTCCACAGAAATGAAATCGCCGCACGCCCAACAACATCGGAAGGACAGGTGGTGGTGAGTGCAACATTTCGTGCTGACCATGAGGAGATGCAGTTATCCCACCAGCCTTCCAATCGAGTCACTAATGAATATACTGTGGCTGTGGTTGGTGCACCACGCGAGTATGCTACTGTTCCTGAAAGAGACGGGCATAGTGCAGAGCAAATGTATAGCGAAGCTACAGCCCCTTCCAACTTACCAATAGTACGCTCCGGGCACCGTATTCCGCCGGATATTACAGACGCATCGATTTTTAGTGCAGCGACAAGCCGCGTGGGTGAAGATCCAGATGCGGAACGATATACTCAGCCTGAAATCCAACGCAGCGTGGTGAATTCCGCAAACCTTCCAAGCCAATATACTTACATAGAGAGTTCTTCTCGTGTACTATCGGCTACGTGCCCTCGTGTACATGATACTCCAGGTCCAGCACCACCTTCACTGCCAAACGACACCTACTCTGTGCCACATTCCCAGCCTGTCAGTCACCATCCATCTTCACGGAGAGTAATGACGCCATCAGACTATCTTGAGCCTTCTGATTGCTAATTTCCAATACTGCAGCCGCATCCGAAGCAAAGGTTCACATCGGGGTACCAACACCGTAACCAGACTAACACATATCCGTACATGCATGTATACTCAAATTTCCTAACACTTTGAAATTCTCCGTGAGGTCCAAATTTGAAAATTGCATGTATACTGTACATAATACATGTACACAATGTAAGTCTGCATGTTGTTTGCTGAATGACTTGAGTGTTTTCGTGTTTTCACATTTCCACGCTGTACAAGACCCCTCAGTGACCTTGTGCTATGTTAAAATTATGTTTCAAATTCCACATGGGCACGAGTACGAAGCAAATACCAGTGGCCACATAATAATGTGTATGATGGAATCAATTCAAAATTGCATAACAGTGATTTGCGAGCGTTTAATCTTTCTGTGCCAGGATTGCTTCTCATACTTTTCCACTTCATCCCTTACATATTTTGATATTAGTACTTTCACGTTCCTCACCACTGCTACTACTTTGATTGTGTATCTCTTACTTGGTTAAACGTTACTTGTTGTACTGTAGGTTTAAACTGGCCTTCATTTCATTAATTTTTTAACTGTGATTCATGATTGGTCCTAAAAAGGAAAACACCAACATTAGTTGATGCCTGTCGAGGGAATCCCAAGCCTGGATGATTGCTAGGTCAGATAATGACGTAGTTCATGTACAATGGCATGTACCTTTACAGCGAATACTATCCAAGATGGCGATTTATTTTTTCATGAACGGTAGCCTGAAAATGCGAAACACTACTCGCATACAGTAGGTTAACGATATTCTGGCAATTGGAAAAGATATCTGCTGTACTGGTGTTAGTGGTCATCCAGCGTACATGTAGTTAATCGCCTTATTTGAAAGTCTATCAATATACATGTACATGTAGTTGTGTGATGATCACTGAAATGCTTCACAAAAGCTACACAACATTTCGCCTGCGTTGTTCGGTGCAAGTATACATTTTCACCAGGCCAGGGGAGGAAAGTGGAGAGTCGTCTGGTCATCAACTGATCGCTTCCTCTTAAGGTCATGCCCTCGTTCAGTAGCTCAGCCGCCAGACACAATCAAATACAATGTAGATGTACACAGAATGATCATTATTGTACAATGTACAGTCATTCAGCTACAAAGAAAGTGTACATGTAGACACATGTACATGTACTTGTATGTCTCCAGAATACCTCCAGAATATTAGTAGACACGTGATGACACTCTCAGATCTCCCCCCCCCCCCCCCTCCACAAACACGCAAAGAAAGACCATGCATGTACGGTTCTCGTAGACAGTGCTAACTTTCTCAGACACCGCGTCAAGAACTGAGTCACGTGCAAGATCAAGAGTTCAGTGGTGTACAAACTAACGTTAAAACATGATGAACACGTAATAACGGTACAAATACATGAAACCTCATGGGCTGAAACAGTAGCCTGCCTCACAATCTACGGCATTGTGTGGTGTGCATAACACAGGACTGATGTGTGTGTATGGTTTCACTTCTCCCCACTCCTTCATCTGGCGATTGCCATTTTCCCTTTTTTCTACTTTTAAAGCATAGCCATAAGTCTGCTTGGTGGAGACGTGAGTATGATTGTGCTGTTGGATGAAGGCTTGTTCTCACATTTAACTGTACGTGCTCTGGCCCGGGTCACACAAATGTACTATAGCAATATGGTGGTAGTTACGCTACTGCCTATTCCTGGTGTGATAACACCGCACTTTGGTATGCAGACATGCAAGACTGGTTATCCATGTGCTTGTGAGCGCGCAGGATTTCGCCTCATCATGCTGACCGTGAGGCAGTGTGACTACCATTCCATCATTGTCTCTAAATTCAGTCACTTCACGGACTACTGAAGTATAAACAATGACTGCGTGTAATTATTTTCAAAATTTCGTGTTGAAGAGGGAGAGACAACTGTGATACTTATATGTAGTAACTGCTGGTACTGCTGGTACTGAATGGATGTTTCGTAATTTTCTTGTTACAATTAATGTCAGTTTCCATCAGATACAAGACAGTTGCTAGTAGTACACGTATATATAACTATACAGACTGTAGTTGCAAATCAAATCATGATTGTATTCTTGGCATAGCAGTGGGATCGGATCGCCTTCTGCAGTGGGACTTTGGGAGCATTGGTAATCCAAACATGAGGTCATCAGCTTTAGTCCCAGTTTGCGGGAAGATACTTTCCACCCCTGGAAACCTATCTAAGAATTCTTAATGGGTGTTTGAGGAGGCACCGGTGACGAGGGGAGGCGAGGAGCGCCACTCCTCCAAGCTTATTGGAAAACGAACTGCTAATACATGTGCCATTTTCTCCCAGCAGCCAGCTGTGACCATGTGTATCAGCAAGTCAATCTTACACACTGGATGCGCAAATCCAACAGTCGCCTACGTGTACATGTATATTGAACGCTGTGCTGTCAAGCCGGAGAGTGTTAGTGTCTCTTTCGCGACAGGTTATTGCACGATATGATTGCCAAGTATTTGGTTAACATACTAGTATTATTTAAAGGGATAGCATGCATAACTTTGGAATGGTCATAGCGTGCCTACAATGTACATGTACATGTATATGCTCAATCTGCGGACAGCATGCTGTTTCGTTCTTTTTGAACTCATCAGCGCAGCACAGCACAGAGTACATGTACATGTACATGTATACATGTACATGTATACATGTATACATATACATGTATACATGTATATGTATAACTGTTAAACGTGTACATAATCATTGTACAGGAAGAGTCTCAGAGTCACCACGTGTCCTGTTCGTAGTGTTGTGTTTGTCGCAGTTTGTGAACGACACCAAGTCGTGTCGCGTCCTTGTTGAACTTCGTGCACCTAGTACGTGCCGGCCAGTACGGTATCCTCCTCCACGGAAAACAAGATATATCACCATTCACCCCTTCACCCCGGTTTGGCATGTGCTAAGTTCTGTTCAAGGCACTCTAGTGCTAAAGCTGCCGCGCAATGTTGAAAACCAGAGATGGTCTAGATGAGGAACAGCTCGGATCGCCTTCTGCAAAGTCCTTGCCTCGACGCAGAAAGAATTACTACAAGAGGAACTTTCCAATAGTTCTATTCAATCTCCGGACAGCAGTACTTACATTCATTCTAACTAACTTGTCAAGCTCTCTTTCCTATCAACAATAATCACTCTTTGCTGTGTGGAAGCCACTGCGTTTCAAGTAAGCAACACTTCAGCAGATCGCACAACGATCAGAGAAGATTATGCGGGGTAAGTACCAATATGGTGTCAATTGTGTAGGGCTTTGAGCGGACGATCAATACGAGGTATTCGGTTGTGTTCTGACCTATCCTGCAGAGTCTCGGTCATGTGGATCGGGATGGTTCCTCTTACTCAATGCTGTCATGCTATACATCAAGTGTACAAGATCAGAATCAACAGAGACGTCGTTTCCATGCCAGCCTTCGGATCGAGACACAGAAAAGGTACCAGAAACTAAACCAAGTGCCTACATCACGCGCACAGGGCACAATGTTCCAACAGAAACTACTTTCATCGACAGCAGAAAATCCTATGCAGTCATATTTAATTTTCCAGGTGGCTGCTTCATCAATATCACTCGCATCGTATACCAGACAGATATTTCCTCGCCCCAGTGCTCCTCCGTCCAGGTTTCCAAACAGGAATCAGAAAATGGCGTGACATGGTTAGATGTCTCGCCTGTTACTATAGTGAGTGAAGGTGGCATCACGAATGGTTCCCCTAATCACCAATGAACTGAGATTGACAATCATTGCTCATCATTGGCTGCGCTTGAAGGTCACAGTGAGCAAATCGATGTTTGGAGGGCATTGTGGAATTCAGCTCGTCGGGGAAGAACCTTACATATCCGTACACTATACAGGTGCGTGTCTATCCTCGCCAATCTACTTAACCCAACTGACTCAATGGGAATTACAATAGGAGATTTTTGTTACGATCTACCTTGTACCCGCTAGATGTGCCCAGGAAACTGAAAGGCCCACCACTGTATGATGGAATGCATTTGCTTATGAACACAGTATTTGAATGAGTGTTTTGATATTAAGAGGCACCTAGCAGACAAGAATTGTCTATCTAACGCATGGCGGTATAAACATGTACATTGTATATCCGGTTTCCACCGTAATGGGTATACTAGTGCTAGTACTAGTATGTGCATTGTCTTGGACTCAAGTGATCGGATTTCATTTACCAGTACATGTATTGTGTATGATACTGGGTCTCAGGACACATAGTATACATAATACCTGACTGTATAATACAGTCATGTACTGGTGATACTAGTACATGATTGTATAATACAGTCATGTACTAGTACTGGTGATACATCTATAGGGCATAATCGCTGTTGAGGACACTACCGAGGCATTCATACATGTACATGTATGTAATGATACTGACCGGTTGATCATAACTTCTGTTCCTGTCTCTCAGCCTCGACTACTGGTGAACACACCCCAACTGTGGATGGCAGCACGGTTCAACCCCTACCTTCAATGGTAACAACTGTGCGTACATCTACCGCAAATCCGACACAAAAGGATATTCAATCTGAACAAACCAGTCAGATAGCTGATACAGCCAAGAGTCCTACCACTACTGCTACTCCACCTCAATCTTCTACCTTCCTACCCGACCCAACACGTACAATAGCAGCCACGAGCACTGCCACTACTGCTGCTCCACCTCGGTCTTCTAACTTCTTATCCGGCCCAATATATACAATAGCAGCCACGAGCACTGCCACTACTGCTGCTCCACCTCGGTCTTCTAACTTCTTATCCGGCCCAATACGTACAATAGCAGCCACGAGCACTGCCACTACTGCTACTCCACCTCAGTCTTCTGACTTCCTATCCGGCCCAATATCTACAGTAGCAACCACGAAGACATCATCGTCTCGCCCATATCCTGTAGTTTCCACGTCCGTATCGACAACGGCATCTAGACCAGCCATTGTTTCAGGTAATTCCAATTTGAACATCATTCTTGCGCTCTCTGGAGTGGTCATAATCCTACTGCTTGTGGTTGTATGTCTAGTGCACCGCAAGCGAAGGCAGTCTCCTGAAAGGACACTGATCCATATCGATGGCAGCACGGAATTGAGCACCAACCATTGCAGGTCGGAGACGCCCGCACGAGACCACCATCACGCAACAGGTGTAGACCCCGGTAAAGTACTGTCACGTGACTTATTAGCGGATAACGCCCTGCGATACGAGCAGGCGCATGATGACGGCGTCATTCGCGTGTATGCAGTGTGTGGACCAGCAGCGCCAATAGAAACACCACAACCCGGAGAAGACCGCACAGTGGAGACGAAAATCACGTCTACACAGCCCAGTATGCATGCGTACGAGTATATCACGACTCCCCCCACAGACGCTGGCATTGAGGACATGGTGAACGACTATGCCGAGTTAGAAGTTGATACCAGTCCCTCAGATCCTAGTACGGTAGTGGCCAGTATGTTTGGTCCGATCCCAGGTATGGTCCATGAGTCGGACTGTGCTTCTGATACACTACACACTAAAGGTGAGTCTGCCGCTACTAGCACAATGAACCAAAGCGATACTCGCTTCGCAGAAGCGCCCTATTCGAACCTGAAGTTTCCAGCGCTGGGGAAATCGTTTCAAGATACATCCGGAGAAATCACTCCAACCACCACTGCCCTTCCACCGGCCCTGCCAGAAGAGGATCACAGCAACTCCCTAGGCGATCACAACATCACATCGCTACGGAACCGTCTACCATCGGAATACCTCGTTCCTATGGATTTGTGAAGCACTACCCACAAAGCAAGCACAACCTTATTATTCGCTCTATCCACATGTACTGGGTCATTTGCCATACACGCCCCCCCCCCCCCCCCCCCCCGCCTCCCCTTAGGTTACACAACTGTGCTCCTTCTTCTCAACAGACATTTGATCGATGAGAGAATGCCAACCTTCCCCTTTTACACACACACGTATGCTGGCTTTTTGTCGACTTGCATGTAACTTGAATATTCCTACACACAATATTGCGCTTAGCAGTTCTTTGCACCGATTTCTTTAGGCCCAAACCTATTGCATATCAATTTTGATAATATTATTCGAATCTTGCCAACTTTAATTCTGACAATGGCCTCAGAGGTCACGGTAGCTGAGAATGACCATGACCTGTGCAGTGAATTTGAATAGGTGAGGTACATGTGTATTACAGGAAACACTCACCTATTCAAATGACGTGTCGAAAGCGTTTGTCGTGTACTTCTGGTATACAATGTAAAATTACCGGTACTGTGCTTGTGTTAGGGTAGGGCGTGATGGCAGAACAGGCAGCAGAATGGTCATAGCCATAAGTTTGTTGAGTAGACGTGGTAACATCCACGCACTATTATTATTAAACTATGGTGCCTCAAAAAAATTAATATAATATACTCGTACATGTACATATACATGACTGTACATTTGCTACATCTCAATCTGTGGACATGTAGAATGATGTACATGTACATGACTCGACTACCGGTACATGTTTCACCTGAGACGAAATACAATCGAGCCATCACGCTTTTTCGTGGTTGTAGTACAGTACATTAACATGTACAGTAGAGAGTTCGATGCATGCAAGGTTTCCCCTGCAAGCCTAGACATTGTACGCCGTGCCTAGTGAGCCGATGCATTATGTCTCCTCAGAGCTCAGGTGTATTGATTCATACAGGGATGTGTTCATGCCGGTGTGTTGCTGTGGTGTCACTGTGTATTTAGACCAATGAAATCAGTGTCAGTGGCACGGTGTCGTGATTGATCACCTGTCGGAATGGAGAGGATATCCTCCAGCAGACTTTGGCTGCTGACCGGATTTCTGACCTGCCAGGACGGTCATCCCTCAACGGAGTTGACTTCGGAAAAGCTTCCGGTGTGGTTCTCGCCCGGTATAATCAGGGTTCACTACAGGCACATCAGATATCCTGTTACTATTCCTCAACATGCCGATGACCTATGCCTGAGGCTATGGTGATAATAGCAGCACCAAACTTGGCAAATACTTCAATAGGCCAGTTTTTCAATATTAATTTTACTCTATCTCCTTTTATACAGGTCTGCGCAGTACACGCACGCACGCACGCAGATTGGTTAGTGAAATTTCCTGTCTCCTAATCAGGTGGTACTAGTAGTAGCAAAATACTACTCCCTAATCCCAATGCTTATGGTAGAAGGTTTGAAATTTGTGCTTTTAACCGCGGTTAGAAGTCTCTCAACTCCAAAGGAATTCTTCATTTGTACATGTATCTGTAAAACAACACGTATTGCGGGTTGTGCAGTGGGCCCTAGCCCTTGGCAGATAATGATCGAACAGTTGGCAGTTTCTGGTCGAAACGCAGTGCAATTGGCCCACACCTTCCTGAATTATGCTCCTTTTCAGTTTTCTTTATCCATGGCACATACCAAACATGCACGAAACATACCAGAAAAAAGTACAAAATTCTGCCCACTTTTCTGCCGGCATTACCCGCCAAAGGCTAGTGGTGGCCGGCATTCTCGTGCCTTGGCTGTGGGTGATACCTCTGCTGCATCAGCAGTGGCAGAAGCCCGGGTACCGGTTAATTAACTTTAAAATGTTATACTGCATGAGTGGTATTACAGTTTTACTTTCCCAATGTCTATTTCATTCTGAAGAAAGGCTGAGGCTTCCTGCAGCTTCATCTGTGAAAGGAATTCGGGTGGACACACCCATTCCCATAGTGCTGCACATCCGAACCAGTCCCGTTCTTTTCACGTTGTTAAAATAACGGAACTGGCTCGGATGTGCAGCGCTATGGGAATGGGTGTGTCCACCCGAATTCCTTTCTATTTCATTCGACTGGATTACTAACTTGCTGCTGCTTGCCTAAGTACATGTAGGTCTGTCCACTGTTGCGCGGTTGGGTTTTCTAGAAGTTTGAGTTGAAATTTTGTGGAACACTCGACACAAAAAGCATTGTACATGTACAATGATCGGGGATGTCATGTACATGTAGATGTTACGTCACGTAATGTTCCGACGATGGGCGCGGCCGTGCGGGCGTGCATGTTATGGTAAGCTATACCACTGTACTGAGTCTGTACGGGGACACTCAGCTTGTTTGGGTATGTACTATTTCAGTTACACTGAATTATATTTCACAGCAAGCTTCCAGCTTCAACCTCTTCTCCGGCCATGGAGATGTACATTGTACGTTACACAGTCTGGGCAATCGCACACTAACCTGGGACAATGCAGACCCTACAGCTACCATGGCTACTAGTACTGTAAATACAGTAATACAGTCATGTACAGGTCTGTATGTCTTTACAAGGTAGTACTCCACCGGTATGATGTCATGACCCCACCCCTGGCATTGGCTTGCTCATGTCGGGGTTGACCGGTGCATGGTGCTCTATCCATGAGCGGAACTTTAAACAGTCATCCGGAACAATAATAAATAATTATTTTTAGCACTACTTAAGCCCATAAAGCCAGCTAAAAAATGCCATGTGAATCACTAGAGTCTGTGCACAAAAAGAATGCAGTGTATCTCATGACAACTGAAAGTCGTTCAACTTGTTTGCACTGGGCCAAGTCATCTTTTTTGATACTTTTTTTTAAACGAAGAGCACTCTATTGTGCATCCACCTCAATTTTGGCTGTGTTGTTCACATTTCCCACTTGTGAAATACATGTATATGAAAAAGTCACACTGCATGCAGTACATGTACATGTAGTATGTGTGCTGTTGACTGTTGCGTGTTGTACGTGTAATTACCTAAGCCACAGCTGTACAGTGTAGCAGTATGCGCCATATGTGCTTTGTATGAGTGTAAGGATCTTTCATTTTTTTTTTCCCCGCACACACATCACACCACATACTCCGGCATGCACTGGCTGTTGGTAACCACCCAGGAGAATGAAAGAAAAGTCAGGAAGAGTCTGAGAAAGAGAAGAAAGACGTGTGTGACCATAATCGTTGGGAATCGAACCCGCAATCTATCGATTAGAAATCGCTGCACATACCACTGCACCATATGGGCACACACACACACACACACACACACACACACACACACACACACACACACACACACACACACACACACCTGTCCCTGTCCTGAACATTGCCGTAAGACGGTCACATGTCCCCTCACGCCAACAGACATGGGGTACGAGGGGACTATCATTGCCATCGGCAATGGGTACGTTCAAGGTTCATACGAGGGGCCAACAGTGGGTCGGTTGAATACAGTACGCAGCACGCTCCGCAGGCTAGCGGCCAACGAGAGTGCTGGTGTACTTTGCGCAGCTGTGGAGTTGGAAACCCCTCTTTGATCGGCAGCATCTGCCACATGCGCTGCAATGAGCCTGGTAGCAGGGTAGTGCTAGCTGAGTCCTCGCCGGCACCGGTACTGCCACAACTGGGTTGGGCGCAGGCAAAAAAAAGGCCCGCCACTGGGCACGTAGAGCGAACGTCGTCGGGTTGACACTTATGGACAGCGAGGCCTCCGGTGCTCCTGAACCATGTCTTACACGCTGCGCATTTCCTGCTCGGAGCCTCCCAATCTGATCTGCGATCGGCTTGCCGCGCTCCTCTTCGCATTTGTGTCGGGCCATACCACTCTTTGACAGTGACCGGCCACAAACCACGCATGGTGTTCGTGGTTGCGGGCGTGGTCCAGATGAAGTAATGCTAGAGTACGCCCTTTGCCATTCACTGCACTCCTGTGCCAAGTCAGAACATGCGTCATCGCCAAGGTCGAGGCATCAAACATTCGCTCTCACGGCATCACGCCACGTCTTCCGAGGGCCACAGGCAGGACGGGTCGGCAAGAGGGCGCCAAACAGCAGCTGACGCGGAGTACGCTCCTCCTCCATTCTGCACAGATGACCAAGCCACTCCATTCGGCGACGCATGACACAGGTCGGTAGATCATCTTGTCTGGCGGTGTTCCAGATTGCCAGAACATCGGTATTAGTCAATCGGGATGCCCCTATGTCAAGTTGAGTGATGCCCAGGATCGATTGGATACATTATGGAATGTCGAGAGGGCGGCTACATCCCGGCTCAGCGGCACCCAGCACTCAGAGCAGTAGAGCAACAGGGATACAACACACACGCCTCATACACCTGGCGCTTAGTGGCAACTGATAGGTTGCGGTCCGTGAACACCGTGCGACGCAGCGCCCCGAAGGCCCTCGATGCTCCAGCAATGCGTGACTTGATATCATGAGCCTATCGACTATCTGTATGTACGATGGAGCAGAGATACCTGAAGTCAGCCATGCTCTCAACAATATCACCCACTACCATCAAAGGCAAGTGGTCATGTGCTGGGGAGTCCGTAGCCGACCGCCATAACCTTGGTCTTTGCGAGATTCACCTTCAGGCCAAATGCGCAAGCAAGACTCACAAACGCAGCCAGTTGTGCCTTGCACCCTCATGGGAGGTGGCAACCAGTGCAGAGTCGTCAGCAAACTGGCTGTCGTTGTGCCGTTTCAAAACGCCTGTACGTGGCCTGCGGAATAGTAGCCGACCACCAGCATTCGTCGCCACAGGAAGCCCGATATCCGGAATGTCTGCAATCGCCTTGTACCATTGCTGGAACACAGCCCACATGTAGATATTAATTAAACAAGACTGGTGCCATGCAGCATCCTTGATGCAAACCACTGTTTACATCAATCGGGTCAACGTCAGCTCCCGCCAGTACCAATGATGCCTTCATGTTGTCGTGAAAAGCTTGGATAATGCGGACGAGTCTATCGGGGACACCAGCTCTTCTCAAAACGAACTACAGACTTTCACGATTGACGGAAACACACACACATGATCAGAGTGCGAATATAGACTAATCCGGCACAAGACACAACACTCAGACATCAGTTTGCAGTTAGGCAGCTCAGTCAAACATTGCTTCATTTCAGTCACTTGTGATAATATTATCATTTGTTATTCTGTCAACGGGTTACAGGTCATAGCAGGGGAGGGAATCAAGACATTCGAAACTGAAAATATAGCATACTCTAGACCACACAAGCACAACAGCTTGCAACATCGTGTGAAGAATACGAATTGACGAAGAACTGTGGCCAGTCTCTGCTAGCCCACAGCTCCAAACAGAATAACTCAAGCCAACAGCGTAGAAAATACGTTGAGGAATAGAAATTTCGTCCACACTGGATGCACCAGTGATTATCAATTTAACTGGCCTTGACTAGAGAGATAAACAAGAACAAACAAAACCTTTTTTGCTCAACTGCTTCAGCTGCCTATAGTGCCATGGTATGCCGTATATTGAAAACACAACAAAAAGACATAAGAAAACGACACAGCACGAGTATCAAAAACCGTCCGTATCAATATCAGAGGCATATCCGGGGTGGAGTGAGCAATGGCAGATCTGCTGCTGCCCAGCTTACTAATGTCCTCCGGCTCACGTGCGTCGAACATCCGAGGACAATGATTGTCGGCAGTACAATCTCCGTAGCGCAGCTCATACGCTCTCCACTTCAGCACACAACAGTGGTCTGACATCATCAGGACCCTGTTTGCTAACAGGTTCAATAGACACTTCAACAGGGTCACTTTGAAATCGGATAATGGCCTGAATAGACATGACCAGGTATACCAGACCGAATGGAACAAGTAGCAGGATCATAGACACGGCGCTTTTCTTTGTAGTGAAGTACAGAATTAGCCCTAGAGAGCCGAGCAGTATGAAGATGCACGATATGAGCACTTTGCGGAGGAACACGCGACGCCAGTACTGCTTTCGGGTCAGCCCGGTTTCCACCTCCCGGCCGTCGATGAAAAGCACCATGGCCTCTTTCCAGACGTGCAGCGCAGTGCCGTCCAGTGCCAGCTCTACCTTGTGTCCCTTCTCCACCTGACAGCAGCGCACAGGACACAAGAACATACATACATGTATGTACACGCATACACATACACGTAATATACACACAGACACATGCACAAAATGCATGCACATACACACACACACACACACACACACATGCATGCACACGCCCTCCCCCCCCCCCCCACATGCACACACACACACACGTGCGCGCGCAGTAACACAAAAAAAACATTCATGCAGCACAAGCCTGCAACAGAAGCCAATAAGGGGCCAACAACCATTATCAATCCTTCGTCCAGCAACACAACCGTTTTGTTATGGCCGGCCACCGTGGTTACCAAAATGTTACACATTTCTATTGCCGTTAGGTCATCGGACGCAAGATAGATATACAGTGCGTAGTGGTTATAGTGTGGTCGCGTAAAAGAATATATTGCCCACAAGAATGACCTCTCGTCTTTTAATGATCGTACCATGGGTTTCAAGTGAACGTTTATTCTTACAAGCAATGTTATCGCATAGTAGAATAGATCGGTCCTAAGAATGGACTTTGTGTAGCAACACATGCCAGATTAGTACGAAGTGTATCGCCTGTATCGTAAAGTACCGTTGATCCCCCCCCCCCCCCCCCCCCCATTTCGCTTCCCAGCTGGGTTTCCAGCAGGGGGCGGGAATTAGATCAAGGCTGTCAAGTGCAGTACGATGTACAACAATGTTGAAGATCAGACTCAGTGTGCTGGATTGTGCACATTTTCATCCTGCACTGGCACGTATTGTGTACAGCAGTGCATGCGCCGGTTCAATGTCGTATTTCGTTGTATACGCCGACAGGGGGGCGGTAATTAGAGAGGGGGCGGATCAACGGTACTTTACGGTAGTAATAACATCAGTCCAATGCAGTTCTAATCCGACTTGCACTGCATCGTAGTGCTGCAGGTTCAACTGTTGTAGTCATGTACATGTTCCTCGCGCTGCATTGCCACATGGCCAGTAAGCGTATGGGATTATGATTCAAACTGAACACCTGTATGCACAGCAGCGATACGCTGCATGTATGATGACCATCCTGCCCCTGCGCACATGCATTTAATATGTCACACCACTTGATTTATCGTGTGTAAGAAATATCGGAAATAAGAATGGAACGTCCCACTTCAAACACCCACGCCATAACCGATACCTACTGTACATAAATTCTCCAAGAATACACGGATCGCTTGAGATTCAGTCAGACTGAGTTTCAGCATCCGCAAGAACGCCACCACCCTCAAGGATCAAGGCGCAGATGCAGCTCCTACAGCGGTGGGAGGTGAGTAGATCAGATCCGCCACAAGGCGAATCGGAAGATGAACATAACTGATGAATATTTTTTCTGTGTAGAACTTCAGACATGCAGCGTAGGCATCAGCTCAGTGACCTTACCCAACAATGACGATTCGGCGTTCCACATGCTGGCCATTGCGAACAGGAGTTGTACAGCTGGGCATCCCAAGACTTCTCCTCGTTCACTGTTATATGCACCTGACAAGCAAACAATGACAATGCCAGCGACAACGACAACAGAGACAACACAACGACAACAGAGACAACACGACGACAACACAACAAGGATGACAGCGATAATAGAGTCAGCCACAACAAAGGCAGGAACAACAACGATGACAGAAGCAGCAACGACACCAACTAATGCTAATGAGACTTTTCCGAGAGAAAACCTGATACACAACCACCGTTACCGTACCTACCGACCAGACTAAAACTTACCACAGTAAGACCTGTACCGTAAAGTACCGTTGATCCGCCCCCACGCCATGTCGCTTCCCAGCTGGGTTTTCGGCAGGGGGGCGGGAATTAGATCAAGGCTGTCAAGTGCAGTACGATGTTCAACAACGTAGAGGATCAGACTCAATGTGCTGGATTGTGCACATTTTGATCCTGGATTGGCAAGTATTGTGTACAGCAATGCATGCGTCGGTTCAACATCGTATTTCGTTGTATACGCCGAAGTCGCTTCACAAGGAGAAAATCGACAGGGGGCGGGAATTAGAGAGGGGGCGGATCACCGGTCCTTTACGGTAATGGCGACCACTCGGATATGGCGACCACTCGACCATGGCGACCACTTTTCCTTGTCACGTACGCATTCACATTCAAAACAGCTCGGATGCGGCGACCACTCGCTCAACGCGACCGACGCCCATGCACCCACCCGCTTCCGCATTCCACCCTGCTAGTACATGTAAATGCACACATTGCATGGTGCACCGTGCATGGTAGATCTACACATCAGTGCATGGTAGATCTACACACCAGTGCAGGACGTGTAGATCGACACACCAGTGCATGGTAGATCTACACACCAGTGCATGGTAGATCTACACACCATGCATGGTAGATCTACACACCAGTGCATGGTAGATCTACACACCAGTGCATGGTAGATCTACACACCAGTGCATGGTAGATCTACACACCAGTGCATGGTAGATCTACACATCAGTGCAGGACGTGTAGATGTACTTGTGCATGGTGCATGCACGGCAACTGCCCGGGCACATGAGTCGTGCTAGAGTGGCATAGCCTGTGTGCAGCGTGATACACTAATCAAAATGATATATCACACGTATTATGACGCGGGTATGACCACGTGATCCACTGAACCTGGATATGAAGACCACCTGGCCAAGGTGACCACTTTTTCTCGTCCCTTGAGTGGTCGCCGTAGACAGGTTATACTGTACTAACACACTATTCCATACTTAGCATCCCGTATTTACACACTATTCCATGCTTAGCATCCCGTATTTACACACTATTCCATGCTTAGCATCCCGTATTTACACACTATTCCATGCTTAGCATCCCGTATTTACACACTATTCCATGCTTAGCATCCCGTATTTACACACTATTCCATACTTAGCATCCCGTATTTACACACTATTCCATGCTTAGCATCCCGTATTTACACACTATTCCATACTTAGCATCCCGTATTTACACACTATTCCATGCTTAGCATCCCGTATTTACACACTATTCCATGCTTAGCATCCCGTATTTACACACTATTCCATGCTTAGCATCCCGTATTTACACACTATTCCATGCTTAGCATCCCGTATTTACACACTATTCCATACTTAGCATCCCGTATTTACACACTATTCCATGCTTAGCATCCCGTATTTACACACTATTCCATACTTAGCATCCCGTATTTACACACTATTCCATGCTTAGCATCCCGTATTTACACACTATTCCATGCTTAGCATCCCGTATTTACACACTATTCCATGCTTAGCATCCCGTATTTACACACTATTCCATGCTTAGCATCCCGTATTTACACACTATTCCATACTTAGCATCCCGTATTTACACACTATTCCATGCTTAGCATCCCGTATTTACACACTATTCCATGCTTAGCATCCCGTATTTACACACTATTCCATACTTAGCATCCCGTATTTACACACTATTCCATACTTAGCATCCCGTATTTACACACTATTCCATGCTTAGCATCCCGTATTTACACACTATTCCATGCTTAGCATCCCGTATTTACACACTATTCCATGCTTAGCATCCCGTATTTACACACTATTCCATGCTTAGCATCCCGTATTTACACACTATTCCATACTTAGCATCCCGTATTTACACACTATTCCATGCTTAGCATCCCGTATTTACACACTATTCCATACTTAGCATCCCGTATTTACACACTATTCCATGCTTAGCATCCCGTATTTACACACTATTCCATGCTTAGCATCCCGTATTTACACACTATTCCATGCTTAGCATCCCGTATTTACACACTATTCCATACTTATCATCCAGTATTTACCGTATTCCATGTTTAGCATCCAGTATTTACCGTATTCCATGCTTAGCATCCCGTATTTACACACTATTCCATACTTAGCATCCCGTATTTACACACTATTCCATACTTAGCATCCCGTATTTACACACTATTCCATGCTTAGCATCCCGTATTTACACACTATTCCATGCTTAGCATCCCGTATTTACACACTATTCCATACTTAGCATCCCGTCACTATTCCATACTTAGCATCCCGTATTTACACACTATTCCATACTTAGCATCCCGTATTTACACACTATTCCATACTTAGCATCCCGTATTTACACACTATTCCATACTTAGCATCCCGTATTTACACACTATTCCATACTTAGCATCCCGTATTTACACACTATTCCATACTTAGCATCCCGTATTTACACACTATTCCATACTTAGCATCCCGTATTTACACACTATTCCATACTTAGCATCCCGTATTTACACACTATTCCATACTTAGCATCCCGTATTTACACACTATTCCATACTTAGCATCCCGTATTTACACACTATTCCATACTTAGCATCCCGTATTTACACACTATTCCATACTTAGCATCCCGTATTTACACACTATTCCATACTTAGCATCCCGTATTTACACACTATTCCATACTTAGCATCCCGTATTTACACACTATTCCATACTTAGCATCCCGTATTTACACACTATTCCATACTTAGCATCCCGTATTTACACACTATTCCATACTTAGCATCCCGTATTTACACACTATTCCATACTTAGCATCCCGTATTTACACACTATTCCATACTTAGCATCCCGTATTTACACACTATTCCATGCTTAGCATCCCGTATTTACACACTATTCCATACTTAGCATCCCGTATTTACACACTATTCCATACTTAGCATCCCGTATTTACACACTATTCCATGCTTAGCATCCCGTATTTACACACTATTCCATACTTAGCATCCCGTATTTACACACTATTCCATACTTAGCATCCCGTATTTACACACTATTCCATGCTTAGCATCCCGTATTTACACACTATTCCATACTTAGCATCCCGTATTTACACACTATTCCATACTTAGCATCCGGTATTTACACACTATTCCATACTTAGCATCCCGTATTTACACACTATTCCATACTTAGCATCCCGTATTTACACACTATTCCATGCTTAGCATCCCGTATTTACACACTATTCCATACTTAGCATCCCGTATTTACACACTATTCCATGCTTAGCATCCCGTATTTACACACTATTCCATGCTTAGCATCCCGTATTTACACACTATTCCATGCTTAGCATCCCGTATTTACACACTATTCCATACTTATCATCCAGTATTTACCGTATTCCATGTTTAGCATCCAGTATTTACCGTATTCCATGCTTAGCATCCCGTATTTACACACTATTCCATACTTAGCATCCCGTATTTACACACTATTCCATACTTAGCATCCCGTATTTACACACTATTCCATGCTTAGCATCCCGTATTTACACACTATTCCATGCTTAGCATCCCGTATTTACACACTATTCCATACTTAGCATCCCGTATTTACACACTATTCCATACTTAGCATCCCGTATTTACACACTATTCCATACTTAGCATCCCGTATTTACACACTATTCCATACTTAGCATCCCGTATTTACACACTATTCCATACTTAGCATCCCGTATTTACACACTATTCCATACTTAGCATCCCGTATTTACACACTATTCCATACTTAGCATCCCGTATTTACACACTATTCCATACTTAGCATCCCGTATTTACACACTATTCCATACTTAGCATCCCGTATTTACACACTATTCCATACTTAGCATCCCGTATTTACACACTATTCCATACTTAGCATCCCGTATTTACACACTATTCCATACTTAGCATCCCGTATTTACACACTATTCCATACTTAGCATCCCGTATTTACACACTATTCCATACTTAGCATCCCGTATTTACACACTATTCCATGCTTAGCATCCCGTATTTACACACTATTCCATACTTAGCATCCCGTATTTACACACTATTCCATACTTAGCATCCCGTATTTACACACTATTCCATGCTTAGCATCCCGTATTTACACACTATTCCATACTTAGCATCCCGTATTTACACACTATTCCATACTTAGCATCCCGTATTTACACACTATTCCATGCTTAGCATCCCGTATTTACACACTATTCCATACTTAGCATCCCGTATTTACACACTATTCCATACTTAGCATCCGGTATTTACACACTATTCCATACTTAGCATCCCGTATTTACACACTATTCCATACTTAGCATCCCGTATTTACACACTATTCCATGCTTAGCATCCCGTATTTACACACTATTCCATACTTAGCATCCCGTATTTACACACTATTCCATGCTTAGCATCCCGTATTTACACACTATTCCATGCTTAGCATCCCGTATTTACACACTATTCCATGCTTAGCATCCCGTATTTACACACTATTCCATACTTATCATCCAGTATTTACCGTATTCCATGTTTAGCATCCAGTATTTACCGTATTCCATGCTTAGCATCCCGTATTTACACACTATTCCATACTTAGCATCCCGTATTTACACACTATTCCATACTTAGCATCCCGTATTTACACACTATTCCATGCTTAGCATCCCGTATTTACACACTATTCCATGCTTAGCATCCCGTATTTACACACTATTCCATACTTAGCATCCCGTATTTACACACTATTCCATACTTAGCATCCCGTATTTACACACTATTCCATACTTAGCATCCCGTATTTACACACTATTCCATACTTAGCATCCCGTATTTACACACTATTCCATACTTAGCATCCCGTATTTACACACTATTCCATACTTAGCATCCCGTATTTACACACTATTCCATACTTAGCATCCCGTATTTACACACTATTCCATACTTAGCATCCCGTATTTACACACTATTCCATACTTAGCATCCCGTATTTACACACTATTCCATACTTAGCATCCCGTATTTACACACTATTCCATACTTAGCATCCCGTATTTACACACTATTCCATACTTAGCATCCCGTATTTACACACTATTCCATACTTAGCATCCCGTATTTACACACTATTCCATACTTAGCATCCCGTATTTACACACTATTCCATACTTAGCATCCCGTATTTACACACTATTCCATACTTAGCATCCCGTATTTACACACTATTCCATACTTAGCATCCCGTATTTACACACTATTCCATACTTAGCATCCCGTATTTACACACTATTCCATACTTAGCATCCCGTATTTACACACTATTCCATACTTAGCATCCCGTATTTACACACTATTCCATGCTTAGCATCCCGTATTTACACACTATTCCATACTTAGCATCCCGTATTTACACACTATTCCATACTTAGCATCCCGTATTTACACACTATTCCATGCTTAGCATCCCGTATTTACACACTATTCCATACTTAGCATCCCGTATTTACACACTATTCCATACTTAGCATCCCGTATTTACACACTATTCCATGCTTAGCATCCCATATTTACACACTATTCCATACTTAGCATCCCGTATTTACACACTATTCCATACTTAGCATCCCGTATTTACACACTATTCCATACTTAGCATCCCGTATTTACACACTATTCCATACTTAGCATCCCGTATTTACACACTATTCCATGCTTAGCATCCCGTATTTACACACTATTCCATACTTAGCATCCCGTATTTACACACTATTCCATACTTAGCATCCCGTATTTACACACTATTCCATACTTAGCATCCCGTATTTACACACTATTCCATACTTAGCATCCCGTATTTACACACTATTCCATGCTTAGCATCCCGTATTTACACACTATTCCATACTTAGCATCCCGTATTTACACACTATTCCATACTTAGCATCCCGTATTTACACACTATTCCATACTTAGCATCCCGTATTTACACACTATTCCATACTTAGCATCCCGTATTTACACACTATTCCATACTTAGCATCCCGTATTTACACACTATTCCATGCTTAGCATCCCGTATTTACACACTATTCCATGCTTAGCATCTCGTATTTACACACTATTCCATACTTAGCATCCCGTATTTACACACTATTCCATGCTTAGCATCCCGTATTTACACACTATTCCATACTTAGCATCCCGTATTTACACACTATTCCATACTTAGCATCCCGTATTTACACACTATTCCATGCTTAGCATCCCGTATTTACACACTATTCCATGCTTAGCATCCCGTATTTACACACTATTCCATGCTTAGCATCCCGTATTTACACACTATTCCATGCTTAGCATCCCGTATTTACACACTATTCCATGCTTAGCATCCCGTATTTACACACTATTCCATGCTTAGCATCCCGTATTTACACACTATTCCATGCTTAGCATCCTGTATTTACACACTATTCCATACTTAGCATCCTGTATTTACCGTATTTCCCCCATTATAGGTCGCACTCGATTATAAGTCGCACGCCCATTACCAGGTTTGAGCCATAATTTTTTGATGTATTCACTTCAGTAGTAAGTCATGATCGGTTGTAAGTCGCACCCCCCCCCCCCCCCCTTTTCACCCTTGATTTTTAGTGTAAAAAGGTGTAAGACTTATAATCGGGGAAATACGGTACTACACTATACACTTGACGTGACATCCTTATCTGGATTGCCATGATCCACAAAAGATTCAGCCACATTATTACCCTCCCCCTCCCCCCCCCCCCTCCCCCTCCCCCCTCCCCCCCCCCCCCTAGATTTGCACCAGTTCACGTTGTTTCAGATGCCATACAGTGAGGATCCAAAGACACTATGTGAATGGGGAACCGTAATACTGCTACATTCAATGGAACTTCATAGCATCGCATGTTTACTGCTGAGGAAGGCATATGTCCCCACCATATTATACACAAAGCACGAAAGACTGTGGGGGTCCTGCATGGCATGAATATTAATGTTACTTGGGATTTTGAAATAAATAGAGGCAAGCCAACACATGAATGGATTACTAGTACTGTCTTGCTGGCCAAGTGTAGGTCTGAATGCCATGGCTCCATGTCCTCAGTAAAATGGGTCTCTATTACTAAGTGCAGTGGTGTCACATGTAGCTAGGGCACTTGACTCCAGACCAGAAGCACCTGGCAGGTTCGATCCCTGGGCTGACGTTAGTATTTATGGAGCTGATAAAATACAATGATTGGATTTCCTGCATCTCCGTCCTGCCATGCATTGGCCAATCAAGCACGCACCATGACTTGACAGATCTGCTCCTGTGTGAGGGCACTGTGTCACCACTAACACTTCCCTGGTTGGCATAAGTACAAGCAGCAGCAGCACCAGCTGATGGTGAGAGCCGCAAAATAATTAATTTCAATATCTTCCAGAGAGCCGGAAAGGCCATATCCTGATCATAGAAAATCACCTCGCTCGTCTGTGTGTTCGTGGACTTGCATACACATTCTGTGGGTTTATCAAAGTACTGTATTACACTACAATTTGCCGTGCCGCTCCACTACAAAATGTTGGAGCACTGTCCTTACGTCAAATTTCGGCCGACAGCGTCAGTACATCAATTACGTGGAGGGAAAGTTCTTCTTTTAGCCAACACGAAATGCAAGAAAGCCCACCGGTGTTAACGTCATTTTGTAAAGCGCAATGTTTTAGACTCGGGTGCTGTAACACTAATATTTTGACAATATTGCTAGAGATCCGTCTGCAAGTGCAACATCTCCACAGACAAAGATCCACAGGTGTGACATTTCCACAAATCCGTACCAGCGTCAATGACGTTATTCGCGAGAGTAAGCAAACGTGAGCCAGAAACTGCAACGTATTTCGGATTATGAAGCTCAGAAACCTGAGTGATGGGCACATGTGCATAACACACTGTCTCCTTAGAAAGCTGACCATGCATTGCCACAAAAAAACAAAACACAGTGCGCTCACCCGCACACGCACACAAGAAATATTTCACTGGTCATTTACCTGTGAAGCCATCTCGTTGGCGCATCCCGTCTTGGCCTGGTCGACTTCAACCACTACCTCCATGTTGTCCGTACCACCTTCCTCTTCTAGGGGAACACTCCACACACGGCGACGATCCTCCAAACGTTTCTCAGCTGCTTTCTCCCGCCGCTCGCGCTGCTCTCTGCTGCCTTTGCGAGGCATTGCGCTCTAGATGTGGACGGTGTGGCCTAAATCTCCGCAGCAGCAACACGCTCGATCCGCTAGAAAGTAGGCGAGATGCACAGCACCCTGCACGTAGCCATGTCAATGTCTCCAGAGATGAGAGAGAACAATAGACGTCGAGAAATCCTCAACTGAGTAAACAGAGATCGATGCAGTTTTGAAGTACTCTGCGCGCTGAAGTGGAATCGCCCTGCACTCGTGCACAAAATCAGTAAAGACTATCTACTGGCAGTAGCGATATGGATGCATGGGCTGGCTGTGTACCAAGCTGTGCACTGTAGATCTACGTACAGAAGTATTAGTTCACAACAGAAGGAAGTCACCTGTTCCGAAGGCTGCGTTCATAATGCCAAGCACGATTACGAACTGGCACGAGATGCTGCTGAGTGCTGTCACTACCAGTACTGGCAGTACTGACTCTGTACCGTCTAGTACAGTCAGCGTCATTTGAACTGTATCCGTGTTGTCACTGTTGACTGTTGCCAGTGAGTGCAGTGCAGCCTCTGCAGGCGAGGGTCGGCTCGACGATCTGCGTGACAGCTAGCCAGCTATCGCTGAACTAATTCTTATTTTATTGGCGATACGCTTATGCAATGTCACCACAATCTACCTGGTACGACCTTAGTCGTTGGTGCGGATTTCCTGTAGGTTCAGATACCAACATGTAGAATGTTATCTGTTTACGAAGGTGGTGATGTGCTATGTAACGTATGTTCCTACAAGTTACACTAGGTATTATCAATACGCGAGTAGACTCGACAGTATCCTTGAGCTTATTTCAAAACACGGATGAAAGGCATGTAGGCAGTGTGCTTTGTAGATCTATTGTTCTTATCTGCTGCGAAGGCCGGTTGGGTCGCCGGCCTGTACCTATTGACTATTGTCCATGCGGCCGGTGCATATCTACTGAGCATCTATAATAATTATTATGTGAAAGTACATGACAGTGCTGGCAACTGAAATCCGACCCCCCTAGCGTTGCGCTAGCCGCGATAGCGATTCGTACGAGACGCCAGGGGGGTCGGATTTCAGTTGCCAGCACTGTATGCGCCACACCGTTCTTCCTTTTTTTTACCTTTACATGTACAGTACTTGGCTTGGGCGCAATCTTTCCAATGAACGGAACGACACGGCTGGTTGTATTAAGTGCCACATAAGTGACCCCGCTCAAACGATGGACTATCCCGGCATCAGAATAAAAACCACAGCGCACTCAAGATAGAGAGAAAAGACAGAAACAGAGGGAGAGTAAACATGGCATGCAACGGGACGAAGAGATAAGAGAAATGCCAGGACTGTGTTATTATTTTCTTCTGGGTGATAACAGTCACACTGTTTTATTATACAATAGTCATGTAGTTATGGCCGCAACACATTGCCATTGGAGTGAGAATTACACATTGGAAATAAAAGGGGTTTGTCAACACATTGGAGTGAGAATTATGGTAAGAAATCTACTTGAACTTGTTGAAGACAGCCTTGTGTCAGTCCTGAATCCGAACGTGGTCTACTACCATGGATGGTATGCTCTAGACTAAAAAGCAATGTGCCTTTCCCTTACTGGCCTTGGTTATTCTTCCCCGCCTGTATACGTACGAGCACAGTCATACATACAATCATGTCCAATGTCATGTGCAATGATGGCATGTCATGCTGACATGCAGTCGCAATCCACAAACCTCGTTTGTCATATCCGCAGAGCCTGTTTTCTAACCCGCCAAAATATAGCAGACCATCTTACAGCGTATTCTGGCCTCATAACAGATTTTGCGTCATCTTCACGTGGTTATGATGACAGGTCCTTGTATCGTTACTTAAAGCTACATGACATGCAACCCCGATCGTCTTACTCAATCATTACTGACATTAATTATAGGCGACGCTGGAGAAAGGTAACATCTTTGCTTGGGATACGGGATTTGTATTGGCTCATAATTATTACGCCATTGTACATTGTAATCCCTGTAAGAGCCTCTAATCCTGTAGCCTCTGCACGAGTCGGTGCTTTGCCGCAGTTTTGGATTGCTCTGCGGTGGAGTCCTGCCACCTGTGCATGAGCCCTTTGTGGGTCACTGCACGAGGGAGTTTTTCTTCTTCTTCTTTTATGGGGAATTGTGTGTTGCTCATACATATGGGAGCTCGCGGTTTTCCTGCCGACTTGAATACTCACTTGCCTGACTCACGACTGCCATCCAGAGCACACGAGGAGTCCATCGAACCGTCCACTCGGCAAACCTGCAAGAAAGCATCACTCCCTGCTCAATAATGGACTCAGATGGAGAGCCAAGGTTTAATTTATACAAAGAGAAAGACCAAGAAACTACAAGTTACGCTATACTGTCCACTAACACCACCAGTTACTAAACAATCAGCTCATGCGATAACATTGCACGACTCTAACCGACGGTACTGACGTTCTACAACTAACTGGCTAACAGCTCTAGCACATCTTGGATGCGCACTATCGTCATCGATATGCATGAACATCCGCCAACGTCCTTCACAGCTGAGACTTTCACAGTTTCAGCTCGTGCTTATCTTGGTTGCGCTCACCTTCCTCTTCTTATGTTATTTCAATAACTGTTACTTAGAACCTTCCAAGTTGGAAGGCTGTTGGAGTGCGTATCCAAGATGTGCTAGAGCTGTTAGCCAGTTACATGTAGTTGTAGAACGCCAGCACCGTCGGTCAGTGTCGTGCAATGTTATCGCATGAGCTGATTGTTTAGTAACTGGTGGTGTTAGTGGACAGTATAGCGTAACTTGTAGTTCCTTGGTCTTTCTCCCTGCTCAATACACAGTGTTTCGGGGAATTCACCCCTAATCAGTTGAGCTTGAGTAGGCTGAGGAAGATCGTGTCTGAACTAACTTGAAGAGCACCACTTCGCATTATAGTGCTCTCCAGGCACAAGCATCACCAGGGTTACAAACTTACAGAGACGCTCCGTTTCCAGCGCGACAAATAGGGACCGGCGGATTCTGCTCGAAAAGGTGGCAGATTCTGCTCGAAAAGCAGAAAAATTGGCAGAACCATACAAACCTTATGGCGGGCAATTCCTCGAATTTTGCTCCATTTCTTTATCCACATACCAAACATGCATGAAACTTACCAGAAAAAGTACCGAATTCTGCCAATTTTTCTGCCGGCAGAATCCGCTGGACCCTAGCGACAAACACCTCGTGGGTCGGCAAGATGTACCTACCACGTGACAAAACAGAGAATACATCGTCAGAATACCACTCACGACAACTAGCACTGCCTGACAAAATACCGTAATGATGCTTGATTGCTGATGCCTGGTTTCCTTGACCTGGCAACTAACTGACTGTTCCCACCTCCGACCCTGCCGCTCGCCAGTCCCCTCCATTGCGTCCGGCAGTTTTTTTTTCTTCACAAGGTTTTTTCACCTAGTGGTTGCACGATGCTTTTGACTCCTCACACACTGTTTGTGTCATTTTGAAGTGCTGTATCTCTGAACTTCTTATCTTTATAGTATTGTAGTTGTAGTCTCTTAGTATATTTCCATCATTGCCTAGTACATTATAGTATTGTTTGAAGAAGGGAACGGAAACGTTCATTATAATTATGTCCTAATTGGCTGGTGGTAGGTTCTTGCGCACATGTACAACAACATAATCATGCATAGACAAGACAGTTTTAGTAAGTAGTAAAGTGTCGATATTTTACTACTCCCTGATCAGTGCTGGTGCCAGTGCAGTAGTGGCTTCCGATTTCCAGAAAATATTTTCCCGCGCAGGCGGTCACGCGCAGCAGCTTCTCGGTAGTCCCCGTGACTACAACTGCAACCGTCGACCAATCATCGCCTTGTGCGGGGGCGTCTGTACCCTCAGTGCGCATGCTCCACTAAGTCCGCACTGCAGCATCGACTTTGCTTTGTCTCTTGTTTTGCTTTGGTGGTGGAAGAAGAAGGAAGAAGAGTGTTTTCTTTCCTCTTGGCGTCCCCCCCCCCCGCAGCTAGAGCAGTAAAAGTAGTCCGAAGCAGTGCATACATCGGCGTTAATTCCCACACGCCAGTTTATTCTTTGGCCATATCAAAGCTGGAAGTCGTCTTCTCCCCGATTTCTGTCACGGAGGTTGAGGATCGTTTATTCTGGATTTCGACGAGGAGAAGGTAAGATCATCACCTTGTGGCGTTGTATTGCTGTTGGACTACAACCTACGGTACTCTGACTTTCAACGGAAGTCTACTGTGGGTCTAGGTGTCTGAACCGGAGAAAAATGTATTCTCCCGTTACCGGCTAACGATCGGTTCTCAACGGTCGGTTCTCAACGCTAGCATCTGCATGTACAATGGGAAAGTTCAGTTTGTTTGTTGTGTATCCAAGAAGCCAGTGTTTAGTTGGAATTGCGTTTGCTTGGCAATGGTTTTGCCCTGACAATGCCCCTTTTCTTTGTGTTTGTCTCTTTCAGAATGAAGAGGACTAACGGCTCATCGAGATCTGACTGTACAGTCATTATTATGAAGATGTACGCACGCACGCTCCAGTGAACGATTGCAGTCCAACCACGTGGCGAGCCAGCTACAAGCCAAGGTCGAGTTCTTTTGCGCATTGAAGGCGGCTGATCTGTGGAACTGGACAGAAACTCGATCCCTGCGATGCTTTCCTTCTTGTTTGTCAACTCCTCGAAGCCAATGGTCATTGCGGACCGCTTCAATGATGCTATCGGAGAGTGATATGAGCTTGCACCGTTTGTAGTCGAGAAGAGTCAAGAACGCTTGGAAATACGGCTGCTTCCGGTGAGTCTGTTTGCGCCGCAAAGATATTCTCTTGCCTTGTGTTTGACATACTCTTTGTACTGTGGTCATCTAGATAATCTGCAAATGCTCGGACTTGTGTGGACGAGTTCGCAATGATGAACCACTTCGAAGGATGATGCAGCGCAACAGTGAAACTTTCACGGGATTGGTTTTGCAAACCTGGTACCAGTGCTAACAGAATCCGTTTACTCAAGAATAGTAATTATTAGATGTTCTTTCTCCTGGGATGCGGTTCCTGTGTGTCCAGGGTTCATGTGCCTTCGCAGATTATACCTGGGAAGACAGCCGTGGTATGAGCCGAGAGGCGAATTGAGCTAGCCGTTCAAGCAACGACCTGGGCCGCTGGATCATCCTGTCCACGCTATGTTTCATCATCCATCCCGACCTGTCCGTGTTCGGATTCGTTCTCCCTCTCGCAAACTCGGTGGATATCTTCATACCTTAGGTGAGTTTATTGATTGTTTGATAGTCAGGTCGTGGAATGGTCGTT